GAAGTAAAGTGGCCATCAATCAGAGAGCCGAATGCCCAAATATTTCCACTCAGCTGACTTTGTTGCATGAGAAAAGAAAGGCATAAAAGTGGGAGAGACAGTGAACTGAACATCAAAACTCAGAGAGTGGGTATTCAAAGCTGGTGACAAGTTGCTTTGAGGAGAGCTTTTCAGAAAGCCAGTTGTCTCACTAAAAAGAAACAGATTTTTTTTAGCTTTTTAGTCAACACCAAAGCTAGCTGCTATTTTCTAAACTAGTGGTTAGCCTTCAAAATGCAAAATTAAACAAGATTTAATACTGGCAGGAAGAGAAGAAATTAAATAGTTGTCGTTCTCTTAAATGGCTTTGGATTACTTTGGTGATTTTTGGTAATTTAGAAAACTAAGAGCATGTTTACATTTAAGCAAAATGCATTGCAAGGTTTCCTGAAGGTCTTTAAAGACCCAGTCTTCAGTCTTCATTGAAGACTGAAGCACTAAGACAGCAGAGGAGGAGCAGCTGGTGTCACAACCAGAATTTGTATTTCTAGGGGATGACCACGGTGAAAAGGATGAAAGGAGAGCACAAGAAAATGAAATTAAAGGACATGACATTAAAAAATAAAACTGGTACAATTCAAGCAGATGCCTCTCAACAGGGGAACTGCTTGAAACCAAGCACTTTTGGAGTCAGTTCAAAACTACAGTTCAAGTAAATAAAATATGTTATTCATAGACTCCTAGCCAGGATATATCAGGTCTCACTTAGAATGGGAATAGTGTCTGAAGATGTAACAAAAATGTATAAAAAGGAGATTAGAAGTGACCTAAGAAACTAAGTTTAAATACTGTATGTTTTAATGGCATTTTAAAAGACAACTAAGAGATTTTTATCAGGGAGAAATATGGAACATGCAACAATCATAGTAGATAAATCCATCCATCTATCGTCTAACCACTTTATCCTATTCAGGGTGAAAGGCAGGAAACACCCAGGTCAGGACACCAGACACCAAATACAGATACTCACACTCAAACCTAGTGTACACCTACAGCAGGGCCAATTTTCCCCCAAGCCCCTTAACCTACCAGTACAGTATGGTTTTGAACTGTGGGAGGAATCTGGAGCACCCAGACAAAACCCACGCAAACACAGGGAGAACATACAAACTCCAGCAACAATAACCACTGTGCCACCGTGCCTCCCAATAACTGATAGCATATGACAGATTTGCAAGAAGTTGGACACGAAAGGGATCTGGGTGTGGATTCACATTCCTCTATGTCATCATGAAGGCGATCGGGGTTAGAAATAAAAAAGCATGCAGAATGCATCAGCATATGCTGTATCTTAAAATGTATTTATGTAGATTTAATAGAGTGGATATTTAAATCCACAGATGTTAAGTCCACAGACCTCATCATTTCTGCTGTAAAAATGTTTAGTTCTGGACACCATACCACAAAAGTACATTTATTATAACTTTAAAATTAGCTCAAAATAGAGCAAAAAGAATGATTCTTGGTCTCGGAGGACTGACAGTTACAGACAGATTAAGGGAACGAACTCTCCAAACAAAGCAGACTAAGAGCTTTTGTTCAAATACAGTGTATCTAATGGGTTAACAAAGGAGGCTACTTCTCACTCAATTACAAAACAAAGACAAAGGGTCACAGTTTGGGAGCTGAACTAGAATTTAGGATGGAGGACAGGGAACCCTTCTTTACACCAAGAGTTGTGGAGGTCTGAGACAGGCTTTCCAGGCAGCTAGGTTTGAAGCCTAAACTAAGTGAGATTTTAGGTTTACTTAGATACTAAACTACCAAATGAACAAGATGGGCTAAATGTGTTCTTACACCACTGTCAGTAGAATTCTATCTGGTACTTTGCAGGCAGCTAGAACATGAGTATACCCACACAATCATGCCATGGTTTCTCAGCCTGGAACTTCAAGCCCCTGAGCAAGGGAACAGACCGTCCTAGTGGAGCTGTCACCCTCTGATCCTATCTTAACTGCAACAATTATTTCCCAGACTGCTCAGAGTACTGCTGTTGTATATTGTAGACAAAAGATCATTAGTAGTATATGATAGAATAGATCAGTTTTAAACAAACTTAAAAGAAAATGTCACTAAATACAGTTTGATACTATACAGTATACATACTGTATATACTGTATTAGACTGAAAAAGGATCATATATACCAGATTAAAATTTCTAATAGTTTCCAGCAACTGCATGTACAATATGTAGCCTATTCAATTATTTTAGAGATTCGTTTTTCTTCAGTGACTAGTTCTTAGACCTACAGTAGATCTTGTAACATTTCATGCTGAGTACAAATATATATATATTAAGGGTTTATATTTTATCAACTAAAAATGCAAACCCAAAAGAAAGACGTTTTTAAATGATATCCCTAATCTGATATCTCTTATTTTATCAATGGGAAGGAATCTTCTTGTCATGTTTTCTTGAGGTACCGGTCACATTTTGGAGTGCTCGGATCTTCGCTACTTACTGTACCTGAGCCGCTGTCACAAGAAAGAAAACCTCGCGTTTGTCTGACTCTCTTTATCTATCCCTTGACTTAGCATGTCGAAATTCAGACCTTGATACGCCTGGAAATGGGAAATTCAGCTACTCTGCGTTATCGCGGGTGACGGATGAATACTTCTGGGGAAGGCAGCGATAAGAGTGTTTTTAAGCTGTTCTGTATGCAAAAGAACAAGGCAGCGCATCTTTTTGTAGACAACTTTGTCGCTTACCTGCTCCGATACAAATGTGAAATTAGCTCATGTGAGACTCTTTGAAAACTTACACCTTTGAATTCATTGTAAGACTGACTTCCCTTATCGAAATCTCTTCATTCCTAGCCTATCTTTCAAGATTTATAACATTTAATAGAAGTGCCCATTAGAACACTTTTTTATGCTGCATTTTAATAATCGGGAAGAAACTAACCCAGCATAAAATTGTTTCAATCCCGGAGGGAAATAACGGTCATAGATGTATATAAAATAAATGCTAAATATTATACTTAATGAAGTATTCATAAGTGTTATGTGTGTCTTATCTTAATTTTCCCTCTTTATTGGAGGGCAGTATGCTCACTCCAAAAATAATATAATCAAAAAATCTATTAGATTTGTATATGCTGTATTTATGAGTAATTGTTGTGAAAAAGACAATTGTTGTGAAATCAACAGCTACATAAATGCTTATTTAAAATGAGAGCATGTATGTGTCGATGCAGGAGACGCTTGTTGCTTTATACTGTAGCTGAGCGCTTTGCCACAAATCGCAGATGATCCGCTGTGTCTGGACCGCAGAGTGCTGAGAGAGACAGACGCACATACTGTACTGTAGGTTCCCTGCTTTACTAGAGCAACTCTGCGCTCTCACAGTGTGCACATACTGTACTGTATGACTTGAGACTCAACTTTAACTAGAAAAATAGAAATGTAGTTTATGCATTAGCTGGCAACAATAAAGAAAGTTCGTCATTGCGCGATAGCTTGGTAAAGATGCATTAGGTTGTTTCTTGAAGCGTTACTACCTCTCCACAACCATTTGCATAGGGTATACCGTTCTGGATGAGATTTGTGCAAATCCAGCAATTTCACACACCAAAAATTTTAAAACGTGTTAATTTATTAACACCCACCTGATACTTCAGACAGCCTCAAAAGCTATTCAGATAGATCTAGGGAACTATTTAATTACTCGTTTAATTTTTTGTCTACTTTCCTAAACCTCGATATTAAAAATAAAAAAAACTATGTAATGTACTATTAGAGGTACTAGCATATACTGTAGATATAAATATGGACAATTTTGATTATGTATACACTTAGTATGCTACAACATTAATCGCTCTCACGAGAACGCTGCAGTACAGTAAATATTACGCGAAAATAATCATTCGGTGGACGAAAACTGCCTTTTAAAACGCATACTGTAAATACAACACTTCACATGATTCTTGAAAACGTCATTAAATCTAACTAAGCATATTAACGTCACGTTATTTACAAAGAAAACAATATTATACCATTTTATGGTATGCAAGTCAGGAAGAGTTACTAGTGACTAATGTCATGCAGAATGTTGTGATACAGGACGTGTGAAGATTTTCGAAATATTTCGTAATTGCTTTAAAATGAATACACTTACTGTATGTTACAAAGTAACATACATTTCAGAAGCTCATCGGTGTTCTTATCCAGATTTCATGAACTTCTTTTAAGTGCTGAAAACAGCATCCTCAAACTAAAAAAAAAACACTTTACCCACAGCAGCACACATTTAAGAAAACCCTTGTAACGGATACTCCAGCTATACCTACAGTAGCTTCTTGTTTACAACCTCATATACTAATTGCACAATCCTCGCATCAGTGGAAATGTTAGCATCACCTTGCAATCGCATAGCACTTCTTAACTTGCCCTGTAATTTCGGAGGGAGTATTTCGATTCCAGCAGTAACATCAGGCTAACTGTAGCAGGCTTGCAAACAGCTGCGTATTACCGGTATACTAAACTGCAATAAAGTTTTGGGTCGCCTTCCAAAGAGCAAAACTACCCAGTATAACTACTGTAACAGTTGTGAATCACTCATTTGTCTAATTAAAAAACGGACAACTTGCCAGCAACGTATTTTTTTTTAATTTTATGACACTTTATTAATTCTATATTCAATGTGACAAAATGTATTTACGTACTTCTGTACTTGACTGTCCTATTTCTATAATTATAATAAAATATTATTAAATACACTAACTCTTTATACTGTATAAATGGATGATGAACTGAAACTACTGTATGCCAAATTCTTTTACATGTATATTTTAACACAACTCTAGATTCAGTTGCCTCAACGAAAACTTCTAGCATTCAACATCATTTCCAATTGATCTCGATACGGCTGTACATTCGTACACTCGATACGGCTTATTCTTTTAAAAACCAATAAATAAGAAGCTGGATTTTTTTTTTGTAAAAGCGAAGGTACTTCTTACCTTTCGTTATTACCCAAGGGAGTTTGAGTCACTGGTAGAAAGAGCTCCGTTACGACTCTCCGCGGGTAGTCACTCCTCAAGCCGACCAGCTTTCCAAAACTGTAGGATCCCTTTGCGCCGCGATGGAAAGAAACACACGGGGAGACCTACACGCTCCTATTCCTCCTGCAGCCAAGCTGGTATTGGAGAGACCTCTCCACGAGCTAGAAGCAACTTGCAGCGAGCGCAGCAAGACCAGCCCCTTGTGGCGAAGGAGAGAATGCAGAGAGAGGGAGGGGAGAGCGGTGCTTCACTGTTCCGGTAGCTATTAACCATTTTTTTCTGCAACACGGGCACCGTGGGCTTCAAGCGTGGTCTGAATTGCAAATTGGATGATTTGAGCAGGGTGGAAGAATCCCAGTGCAGTTGGAAATGTGAACATTTGCGAAACGTCTGACAGCGCGCACACGCACAGGTGGCAGTACAATACAAAGACAGGTCAAAATGTTTGCAACATCTACAAGGGAGATATTCAGAAAATGCAGATCGATTAAAACGTAGAAACTGATAGATAATGGATAGATAAATTGATAATCAGATACTTGTATAAGATTGATGAAAACAACATCACCTGTCATTTCTATATTCTGGTGAACTCACTTGAAGGCTATTCGTCTCTGGAGACCCATACATAAGTCATGCACATACTGTACTGTATGTAATCCATGTTTGTTGTTCCTAAACCTGTAAATACTGTACTGATAAACATACTGTACCATCATCACCACATGAGATCACTCATATGGGGATCTTTGCTGGCAGGTAGTCTTAAAAAGAGCAGTCCAAAACCTATACAAATATGATAAAATATGGCCTAACAAGTTCTTGGCAACACATTGTGCTGTACATTTACGTTGTCACCAATCTTAATAGTAGTGTATGTCCACATTCATAATTACAAAAATACCAGGATACCATACCTGTAGTTGCTTGTCAAATTTCACATTTGAGCTTACAATACAGTATGTTAAAGCTACTCTCATAAAGCACTTGTAACCCAATTCTTCTTTTCATCTAATAAGAAAGTACAATCACCCTGTGAATTACAAAGCAATTCCCTTAGGAAACTATTGTAAAAAAAATGCTCCACTCAAAATATGTCTATACTGATCTTAGAACAATAAAAGTTTGGTTATTAATGTATATTGTTTATACATTTGTTTCAAAATCTTACAAAATGTTTCTGTACACATAGCTTGTGGTCTACGCCTATATCATCCAGATTTGATGTACTGTACTTATGTGGGGAGAGAACAAGTACTGTTCAGTCAGCTAACCTTACAGTTTAGGCTGGATGGAAAGAAGTCAAACAACGGTTCACAGAACAAGGAATTTGGTGATTGTGGTTATTGTAATGACAATTGTCATTATTGAAAGCAGAACTTTCCTGAGATTCATCATATTGTTCAGCTTACCAAATTGATTGTATCAGAAGACATGAGTTAGCTCACTTCTGGTAAATAAATGGATTTCCATTAGCTGTGCGTAAGGAGTGTGAAGAGCTGAAGATGCCTTGCCACTAATTAATTGTCTCCTCTTAAGTGCACACTCATGTGTGGAATGTTTCCATCAGTCGCCAAAAAAGTCTTCTTTTAATATGAAGCAGTCTGATTCTTTTACACTGCAAGGGGGAAGAAATTGATATGAGATAGGCCCTACAAGTAGGTTTTCTTGGAAAGGCGATCTTTTCCTCTCACTGTGTTCTCACAGTGTCAGTTTATTTCTATAAAGGCGTTTCCTTTAAATCAGAGCACTCACAAGGGAGAAGGGGGCATATCAGGAATGAAAAATGTCTTTCTACAGTGGTAATTATTTGGGAAGCAGAGATGGTCAACTCTTATCCTGGAGAGCCTCTGCTCTGCAGGTTTTAAAGACACTTCTGAATCATCAATCAATAAGAACAAATAGTTTATTCTAACAACTTAGCCGAAGTACTTTTTTATGATTTTTGTTTGTATTTACCAGTTGTTTGTATTCCCAGATTAGAATTATGGACAGCCTTGGCTCTCTACTGTCATTCTTACAGAACCACTCCAGTTGAGCTGACTGACATTTAAGATGCTGTACCTCCCCAGCGACAATCAGCTCATTGACTCATCCTTTACTAGAATGTCTGGACTATACAGTGCAATGTGTTTTTACAAGTGAATTTACCATTGTAGGTACTATGAATCTCTGTCAATTCATTTAGAAAAAGGGCTTAAAAGTAAGATGATCTAGTGGATTTCAAGGGACAGGTCTGGACATTAAAGGGTACCGGAAATATTCATGAATAAGATGAGTTCTAATTCTTTCTGTTCTTAGAAATACAGTAAGTTTCTAAATACACACTATAAGTCTTTTAAGTGACATTCCTCTCTTCTTTGTTATGTATTTGACTGACACTTTTATCCAAAGTGACATGTATTTGTACCCATTTATACAGTATGGTAAGTTAATGGAACAATCTGAGTGAAGTACCTTGCTCAAATCAACAACAGCAATATCTCAAGTACCATACAATTTGAACACACACTCTTCTAGTCCAGAACCCTAACTATTACACCCCTTAGAAGTACTACCTTATCTGCTGCTTGCCTTATTTCATGAATGTTCCATGTATATGAGTCCCATGTTATCATAGTTTGAGCTTTTTCAGGTTTTACAAACTGCAGCTTCTCATATGAGCTAAAAGCAGGAGCTGCATACTGTGTATACATACTGTAGTTGGACTGAAACTGAATAGATGGTGCTCACAATATTAAATACATAAATGGTCCTTAACTAAATGGCCTACTTAATAAACTTCATTATAAAAACTGAGTGTTGTGTAGCAATGTAATTTGGGCCACATGCAAAACAGTCAATGGAAATACATACTGTATAAAGGGAGAATGGCAGTACAGAGGGCACTAATTCAATACTGTCCACAAGAGGGCTCACAATGAGTTCCTAGGTTACAGAATCAGAATTACACATGCAATGTAGCATGCTCTGTTGTTCATTATTGTCACCTATGGTTCCATCTGGTTGAGTCTAAAATCCCTTTGCTCAGTCCCCATTTTTCACAATACAGTTTTTTTAAAATGGACAGTTAACATTATGAAAGTTTATGTGACCAAGTCTCATTGCAAGATTTTGGAAAGTTTAATCTTAAAGAATTTCTAAAATGGAGCACCTTAAAGAAATAATCTTTATTATTTTAGAAGAAAGGGTCTTTAAAAGGTCAAGATATCTACATGAAACAAACATCAGAAATTGTTTGCAAGTTTGCAATTGTTTGCAAGTACAGCAATGAAAGCAATAATTACCAGAAATTATTGCAGAAATCATATGATAAAAAATCAAATCATCAGTAGGTTCACTGAAAACACTATGAACAGTGACTGACAAAGTATGGTGGTTTGTCCTATACTGTTTATCCTCTTAAATTAATTGCACGTGGTCCACATGGTCCACAAGAAATGATCTTTGACTTTCGAAGGAATAAGTCTCCGCTGAACCCTGTTTCCATCCAGGGTGAGGACATAGAGGGCGTACATTCCTACAAGTACTTAGGGGTACACCTGGATGATAAGCTGGAGTGGTCTGGTAACACTGATGCCCTGTACAAGAAAGGTCAGAGCCAACTCTATTTTCTTAGGAGACTCAGGTCCTTTGGTGTGTGTGGAACACTGCTACACATTTTTTATGAATCAGTGGTGGCGGTGGCCATCTTCTACCTGTGGTGTGCTGGGGCAGCAGCATCATGACAAAAGATGCAAATAGGCTCAATAAACTCATCAAGAAGGCTGGCACTGTGCTGGGGATGAGCCTTGACCCCATGGAGGTGGTGGCTGAGAGGAGAATGCTGACCAAGCTCACAGCCATCATGAACAACACCTCTCATCCGCTTCATGGGACTGTTACTGGGCAGCGGAGGACATTTAGCAATAGACTGCTCCAGCTACGGTGTTCAAGGGAACGTTTCCACAGGTCTTTCCTCCCGGCGGCTGTCAGGGTGTATAACGCTGCCCTAGGCTAGGACTGTTAGCCCTTCATTTGCTCCTCTATGGACAGCATGTTTACTCCATTGTACTTTTTGGACAATCAGTCTGTATAAACCTATGCACATTTTGCACATATTTTATTGTTTTTACAGTGACTATGATCAGCACATTTTGCACACACCTATGTATTTATTTTTATTTATCTTGTTTGTCTTTTGTTTTATAACTATTCTGATGTCTGTTTTGCTTGTCTTGGGCTGGACTGCTGTAACACATCAATTTCCCTATGGGATTAATACAGTATTATCTATCTATCTCTTTCAAACTGTCTATGCCAGCAACAAAGCAACTCTTTGATTGTTGCTTAACCAAGGCCTAATGTACTATTTCTTTCAATATCTGCAGATCTAGACCACAAAACTAAGCCTTCATATTTCAAAATGCAAAACAACCACTTGAGGCCAGTATCGAAATGTATGATGTGTGACTTAGTTATTTTAAGTTGCATTCATAGATCATTGCTAAAATAACACATTATTTGTAAAAGAGAGCTAAAAAAATTCAAAAGGGACTGTACTCTTAGAACTTTCAGCAAAAATACATATTTTTTTAGATTTAAGCTAGACTTGGCTACTAACCTGAAAAAAAAAAAGAACAAGAGAAACTGAATGGCCACCTCCAGTTTGCAGCTTTTCAAATGCTCTTCTCTTCTTTTTAATGTTTTCAGATACTGACATAATACACCAAAAGGATTCCGTAAGGATCCTAGAAAAAAAACATGTCATAAACTGCTCCTGATGGCTCAGTGCAGAGCGTATCAGGCAACGTGAATCTCCAGCAATGTCGTATCAGTGTCTTTGTAAATCTTCTGTATGAATGATGACCACAAGGCATGAACGTTGATTGGAACCTCACTGTAAGTTTTCTATGACTTCTGTCTATTAGTGCCCATTTTGAGCATTGAAATTTCAGGTCTTCTAACTTTCCGTAACCTTTGAGATGCCTGGATGCTTTGGACCCTTCCTAGCCTTATCTGCTGCCTTGCTTTACGTTATAAAACAATACACCACATGTGTTGACATTAGCAGCTTGTCTCCAGATCTTGAGCCAACCTAAATGGACAAGGACTCAACTGAACATGTTGTTGGTGTGGAGAAAATTTCCCAACTGCCTTGACCAG